CAACATGATGGACACAGCCACCATGCCAGTGCTGCTTCTGGCCATGCTACGCGCAGTACCCGAGTATGAAAGGGAGGGAGGTGAGCCCAGAGTAGTATGGACACCTGGTGCCAGGACCCTGGGGTGGCTTTGCACAGCTGTGGAAGTGGCTCTGAGCTATTACACACCAGGGGGAGCCTGGTGTTCAAGAAGTGCAGGGAGGCGGTTTTTCTTTCGTTAGCTGCTCCCACCGCCCACCCCCATCCCAAGAGAGTCCCCCTCTTCCTCCAGCAGAGGGCTTTACAGCCAGTCATCTGGCCCTCCTGGGGCTCTGACTCTTCTATGAAAGCAGATCTATGCTCCTCAGCCACTCCTCAAGACTGCGGCATGGGCCCCACACTCCTAGTGAGCTTCAGAGCTGCTGACCCACAGAGGGGGTCATTATCTCCATTAGGGCTGAGGACACAGCTCCCACAAGACATGTGCCCGCCCTAAGGTCAAATGGTAGAGCTGTTTCTGTCTCAGACTTTTCCTTCCCACGCCCAATTCCAGGGCAGGGAGAGGTAAGCTCTGGCCTAAGCAATTTGGGCAGATGTTCTGTCCTGCAGAGTCTTCAGCAGCCAAAGGTGCCATCAACTGGAGTCGGGCAAGAGCTCTCTCCCTTTCCAGGTTGTGGGGGTGTAGGGGAGGCAAGAGCCAGCAAAATAGTGAAGGGGTGAACCCTACCTTTTTCCTGCCCAGGTTTAAGGCCCGGGAGCCCGGTTTCAGTTACCACAAAACCCCAATGTTTACTCCTCAGCTACTGCCAAGGCCTGGTGGCTGGATGACAGCCTGGGGCTCTACTCCACCCCTCCCCTGGAGGGAGGTAACAATTGGAGGTTTGTTTTGGTGGCCAAGGCTGGGCCTGCCAGCCTGGACACAGCCTCTCTGAGCCCATGAATCCAGCCAGGAGCCTTCCTGGCCTCTGCCATCCTGGGGACATTGGTTACCAGACTGAATGGCTTTGTCACCTCTATGCCCTGGAATAAGGTGGGGGTGGAGGTTACAGGACCAACGCCAATGCTGCACACTTTCCCCTTTGTTCTGGGTCTCCCCAGTTCTGCCAGTTTGACAGAGAAAGAAAACTAGATGCCTGTACCCTCGGTGCTAGAGCAGAGGTCTGAGTTCTGACACCCTGTGACCAGGAGGTACTGGGCAAAGCTGAGTTCCCTGAAGTCACAAGCTGATTATGGGGGATTTAGGGCTGACCCAGCTCTGGGGCAAGTAGACTGAACGGCTCAGCACCGAACAAGGATCATCTTGGGGCTGTTTACACTGTTTACACTGTTTACTTAATGCCAAACTGGCTCTGGAAAGGGAATTTCCACTTAAAATAGCCACCACCTAATTGAGGGCATGAAGCTGGGCTCCACCAGGGGTGGCAAACCCTTCATTTTACAGAGAGGGAAACCAAGGCCCAAGGAAAGCCACTTCTCCAAGGTCACAGCTTTGTTTTGTTTCCATTTACAGAAGGGTTTCAGTTGTCAGGTTACATCTAATCCAACTTCCAGACTGCCACTGCACCCAGAAAAAGCTTGGAAAGTCCTAAATCCTGGGGATTTCTGCTCATTTGGGATGAGTGAAGATGGCACAGAACGCAGTAGAATACAGAGAAGAAAGCATGCTTTCTCCCAAACCCACAGAACGCCTCAAATTTTTTGTGACAGCCTTATCTTAAGACTTTTCCCTTCTCCAGCCTCAGTTTTCCCTTCTGTCAAGTGGAGGGCTAAGCCACGGGCTGCTGCGTCTCTTCCTGCTTGACTTTCTCATTCGTTTATATGATACTGGAAAGAATGACAGTGTGTTTTAAGATGGGATGTTCAGTGTGTGACCTTGGCAAAGTCATTTTTCATTGGACCCTGAGGTCCCCATGACTTCATATCCCCTTCACAGGGCAGCTGTAAGGATCCAGGAGATAAAGGATATTATCTCCCTTTTTGAACTCCCCAAGATTGACTCAGATTCAGGCACGAAGGTGGGAACAAAGAAGACTAGGGCAAGACAGGGAGGGAGCCACACTAGCTACTCTCGCCCATGTGCCATCTCTGCAAACCAGCTTCCTGACAAATCCCCTCTGGTAGAACTGACAGTAGGAGCTTTAATGTTTTACCTAAGTAATAACCGTGAGCCAGGCATCCAAAAAACTCACACTGCCAGAACACCAGGCTTCTGCATAGAATCCGAGGGACGAGTAAATGTTATCTGGGACCCAGGCAAGCAGAGTGCATCATGGGAGTCCAAGGAAGCAAGGAACATTTATGGAACACGTATGGGGACAGACACCCACATTTATCCCCCTGAATTCATATAGATATTCTAATGCTATAAAAATGACATCATTCTGCGGGTGAGACAACTAAACACATCTGCAGGACTCAAATACCAATGTTCTTCCTACCACCAGGGGCCGAGGAACCCTGCAGATTTCTGATGCCTCCTTTTTGTAGAGGTCAGACTGGTCAGTAAAAGAGAGGGCATAGATGGGAATAGACCAGACTAGCTACAAGTTCTTCACAAAGGGTGAGGTGAGACATCCCAGGACAGGGCTCACTCCTGCCTGTGACCCAGGAGGGACGGTAGGTGAAACCCTGGCTAGCCAGACGATTTCACCTGCCCCTCCCTACTTCCTACTCAGTTAAGCTCATTACTTCGAGCTGCTGTGGAGCACTTCAGAGCACATAGGAGCATGGGGAAGTCAGCTGAGTCAATTCCCAGTTCTGAGGAGATGAAGAGGAACATAGCCGAACTAAGGCTTCAAGCCAGACACACCCGGCAAAGGATACAACCATGCCAGGTCTCAGTTTAACATGTGGCTCCAAAAGGCTGTGGTAGAAATCAAATCAGCAGTCTCCAGAGTATACAAGATGATCATAGAGAATTTAGAAAACAAAATTTACTATCATTGCTACCTTGTATTTGTCTTTTGAGATTTCTATTTTATGTAGGCATCTAACGTGTATGAATTTATAAATGCAAATGAACCACTGGGCAGGAGGTGCTCCGATGATCCACCCAGTGGACAGTGGAAACTCTGGAAAAGCACCCACCTGCCACTGCATTTAGACCAGATGCTGTGAAGGCTGCCTTTGAAGTTAGAACTCTCTTTTCCATTTGTAATTGGAGAGACAGAAACACAAGCCCTGCTGATCAGCCTGGGTTCAAATCCAGCTCAACCACTTCAGGAAAGTTACTTCCCTTCTCTGAGCTCCAGGCCAGAGAAGAACCTCAGCACGGATAAATGGCCAGAGACAAGGAAAAGCATTTTTGCCCAGATCTCAGTAAACTGGAAGCAGCTGTTGATTTTCCCCTCTACTCTTCTGTCTCCACTTAGAATACTCACTTATTCACCCAAATAAATATCAAGGTCTGGCATCACACACTGATAAGACAGTTCTTTTCTTTGAGGAAGTAACAAAAGTTATCCCTGTCTCTCATGTGGAGGAACAGAGGCCCCGAGAAGTTAAGTGTCCTACCAGAGCTCTAAGATAACACAGCAATTATTTGGACTTTTGGGATCTCAGGACTTGTCCCTGGTTAAAAATCACCTCTCTTTTATATTTTAGTTACACCCCACCACTGTGGCTCAGCCATGCAAGTTGGGAGCCTCAAAGAAGGAACTTACTCAGGTCTCCGTTCAAGCCTTAAGGCCAAGGCAGGATGAAGCAAATCCCTCTGGATTCAACAGGTATGTACTGGGGAGGCCTTTTCCAGGCGAGGGTACAGCCTGGTGTCACCCAGCTGGGTCCCATCAGATACCTCCACAGCATAGAGAAAGGGTAGTTTGGGTTCAGTCCCAAACCTGCACGTCCCAGGTAAAAACAAAGGATATTCTTGACCCTTCATTTGAAAAATCAAGTAGGTAAAAGGAAATATTTTAAAAGAAAAAAGTGACCTGAAATATTCTAGACAAGGATGAAGGGAGGGAGCAAAGAAACAATGCCCTACACACAGAGGGATTTAGTAAACACTTGTTGAAAAGGAGCCGCCTTGGAGCAGTCACAGAGATTCCCTGCAGGACAACCTTGTTCACAGATGCAAAGAGTGAGCGTGTGTGTGTGGATAAGTTGCCGAGATTCCAACGAGACAGTTTGCCCCATCTCACAATCTTCAGGGCAGGGAGTCCCTGTCCCTCATCCCATGGTAGGCGCTCTTCCCGCTCAGCTCCCGCCTGGGGCCCTATCCCAGCCCCGGGCTCGCGGGGCCCCCGGAGAGCTCTCCCCGCCCGGCCGGGACCGCGCCTCATCAGAATACATCTATCTCCCCAGGACTAGGCACCCGCTTTGGGGCCCACACGGTCCAGAAAAAAGGGTCTCGGAAACCGGCTGTTCGACTGAGACCCGGGGCCAGCACCTCCCGCGCCCGATCACGGGCCCGAAGGAAGTGCCCTCCGCCGGGGCATCTCGGGAGGCTGCCGCGAGGACCGCGGGAGGCCGGGAAAACGGCCCTGGCCAAGCTGTTCACCGAGCGCAGCACCCGGGCGAGGGGAGCGGCGGCCAGGATCCCGCCAGGAGCGCGGGCGGGTCCGCGGGCTCTAAGCCCGGGCCGGGGCCGGGCTGGGGGCTCGGCTCGCTCAGCCAATGGGCGGCGCGCTCGGGCCCCCTCCCCCGCACCGGGAGGAGCCGGCGCAGGGCCGCCGCCGCCGAGGTCGTGCGCGACGTGCTGCGCCAGGGCCCTGTGTCCCGGGCCCCCGCCGGGCCGCGTGGACGGCGCGGCGCCCCCGGAAGGAAGCTGGTGACTCGGCGCGGGCGCCAAATACGCACGTTGCGCCTTCCCGCTTGCTAGAACCGGAACCCATCCCCACCGCACCCCCAGCCCCGGCAAGGCGCTACGTCCTGAACCCGCGCGGAGCCAGGCTCAGAGAGGCGCGCCGCCGGCCCCGGGCGCACAGCACGGCCAGGCGATCCGGGAGGCCCGGGCCGGCGGAAGGGTCCGCAGGGGTCGCCTTTGTTCCGGGCGTGGAGGGCTCGCGGCGCGCTACTCACCTTGCTGCTGGGATCCATGGCCGCGCTGCGCTGGTGGCTCTGGCAGCGCTGGGTGCGCGGGCGGCAACAAGCGGGCGGGCGGCGCTCTCCGGCTCAGGCTCTGTTCCGACCCTGACTCCGACTCCGTCGGTTGACCTCCCGCTCTCTGGCACACTAACTCCTGGACCCCCAGCCGCGATCTGCACGGTTGCCGGCTACCTCTAGCCTCTTGCCTCTAGCACCAGAGCTCCCGTACCCCACTGTTTATAGGACCCCAGCCATTGGCTGGCCAGGCTGGTGTGTCGGGGGTGTGTGGGCAGAGCCTGGGGCGGGGCCTGGGGTAGAGCACGTCCGGGGCGGGGCTCCAAGGGAGGGGGCGAGGGGCGGGGGGAGGGGCGGAGGGCTCCTGGCTGCCGCCTCTCTCTGGTTGCCAGTCTACCGCGTGCCGAGTGCGCTGGGACCCCAGGGGACGCTTGCTGTGTGACCCCGCGCAAGTGCGCACACCTCTCTGAGCCTTAGCAGCCTCTCGCAAAATGGTGGAGCTGGTACCCGGCTGTAAAACAAACTGGGAACCACGTAGGGTATCGCGTAAAAGCTAGGACTTTGGATTCTTCACTCTGCAACAGGATAACTTCGGTAAACTAACGATAATAATAGCATCATCACCTTCTGGGGTTGTTATGAACATTAGACGAGTTAATATTTGTAAAATATTTTGAACCGCGTCTGTTACGTGGAACGTGGTATTTAAGTATTTATTGGACTGAGGGAGGTCTTGCTCAGGGATTGAGATTTCCCTTCCTCTTTTCCACCCCCAACATTCCTGCTCCCAAGCCAAGCCTCTATTTTGCACCATCCGGGCCCTCTGCCTGGAAATCCATGCCCACTTCTTATATGAAAAGTGACTTTAAATCACCTCTTTGACCTCTTCTCTACTTCTGACAGTTCAGGTGTATCTATAGTGACACCTAAGTGTGAAGTGCATGAAAGGCAGGGTAACTGAATGGTTAAGGACACAGGAGACCTCGGCATCGAGCCATCTCATCTGTATGCTAGGCTAGCCTGATCCTCGGCAAGATCCTGGTCTGTGAGCCACGGTTTTCTTATGGGTAAAATTAAATTCATAACAGTTTGTGTGTTCTCGCCAGAGTTAACAGTTTCCTTGAGGTGAGCTCATGAAGTGCTTAGCCTGTGATGAAAGTGCTTAGCATGTGATGAAACACAGTCAGACCACATTTACTACTGCGCTGGTATTGTCATCTGAGTTCACTTATTTCCTCTTCCAGACCAGAGTCTTTCTTGAGACACAGTGTCTCAAGAAAGTTCAGACCAAAGTCCAGGGTTAGCCTCAGGTCCTTTTCCCTGTGCGGAGGGGTCATGGTGGGATTAGTCCTGTTGGAAAAGGGAAGGCTGAAATGACCCCTGGAGTTCTCTAGGCAGTGTGTCCAATGCTGGCTGAAGGGGCACTCTGGGCACGAAGCCCTTCTGGGCATTCCCCTGCCCATGGCTCCAATTTCTACAGCCTCTTACTACTAAGCCTGGAAAGTGTGGAACCATATCCCTCCTCTCTCTTCAAGCCTATAGAGGGCACTAAGTCTTACTAACACCACCTTCCACCACTCCTCCTCCTCCCCACTTCCCAGTGTCTACAGCATCTTTATCTTCTCTAATCCTGGACCCTGTTATTCCCACTCACATATCTGACATTGTCATGGAGGGAGAGAGGCCCATCCTGGCCATCAAGGTCCTTCTTCAGGACACCCGTTTACAGGCTCAGCCTCACTCCTAGCACCAGCACCTCACATCCGTACCTTTGCTCAGGTTGTGTCCTCTGCCTGGGAAGCCTTCCCTCCACCTCAGCAGGCCTTAGAGTGCCCCAGGAGTGGGTCCTGCTCTGGGAAGTGGCAGTCTTTCTCTCCTTTATTCCTGGGTGGAATAAAGTTTGCTATTGTCCTCTGACTGTCTCTCCCAGAATGTGAGCAACTTGAGGACAGTGCCTGTAACTGAGGCACAAGGTGAATGAGCAGAGGACAAAATGAGTGAATGGATGAATGGTCTTCCTGTCTCTAGCTTCCCTTCCACTCCAGTCCGTTCTGCCAACCTTGCAGCCTTCTCTTCAGTATCTTTTGGGTTTTGCTACCTCCCTGCTCAAAGTCTCTTCCTGGTTCCCTGTTTTGCCCATCCAGTCTTCTGGATTTGCCACCCTTAGCCCCTGGATCATGCTCTCTAAGCAACCACTTTTTCCCTCTCCAGACCAGCCCTGTGCAGGTCACTTTCCCAGGGACAGAGATATGAAAGCCCACTGCTAGCCTCATGGAGCCCCAGACTAGATGGGCAGCAAAAGGGAGGATGAGCAGCAACAGTTCCAATTCAAGTTCACAGGATAAGTTGCACAGGAACACCCCATGAGAAGAAGACGGAATAGGGGAGGTCATACCGAGCAGAGTTTAGAAGGCTGAATATGAGCTCTCTAGGTGGATTATGGGAAAGGCTACTGTTTGCAGAGGGAAGAACAGATGCAAAGATGGCAGAGAATGATCATTGAAGGGACAAGAGAATTTCTGCCAGAGATTCATGGTGGAGTCAGAATTGGATTTTGCAATCCCAGTTCTGCTATTTACTTGCCAGACATTCATGAGTACAGTTCTCTGAGCCTATAAAATGGGCACAACAACCCCTTCCCAAGTCAGCTTGAGAAAAAAACAAAACAGATGTGTGTAAAGGTTTTTACTATTAATAAAACTACTAATTCTTGATGTCAGCAGTTCAGTCAAACCCCCATGCTATCATCCGAGTGGCACTTGAGATCAAAGCAGAGTAGCCAGAAAAGCAGCTTTACCTTTTTACCCCACCCCACCATACCTGCCCAAACACAGACCCCCATTACCCGCTTGAAATTCCACTCCTTGGTGTCCTCTCTCTGTAAATGTTTGATGGCCCCTGGAGGCTACAGTTTAGAGGCAAATTCACCAGAAGCTATTGACACTGGATCAGAGGTTAGATTCTCAGGTGGACTGGTTTGTGTTTTCAGTGACTGAGTCCTTGGAAACAGAATTTGACTCCATCTAGGTGGAGAGCACCAGAGGAGGCCTGAGGAAGTTGCATCTGAGCTGGGCAGGCTTGGTGCAGGGGAGGGGAGCATGGACAGATGCCTGGAGGGAAAGCGAGAAGATTTAGCAAGCCCCTTGTGAAATGGCTGGCTCCCAGGGACTTGGGAGAGAGAAGAGATGAAGATAGGGAGGGAAGAAGAGTCTAAAGAGGTCGGGTCACAGAGGCTCCCAAATGCCAGGTATAGGAGTTAGGACTTTCTTCCTTGGGCAGTAGGGAGCCATAGAGAGTTTCTGAGCAGAGAAGGGACCCGAGGGAATCTCATCCTCCCTGTAAGTTTACTCTATATGAGGCTTTAAAAGTGGGTGGGAAGAGCTGCTGGAGCCCCAGTATTCACTTTGGAGAGGCTTACTGCCCCCCTCTCCAGCCGGTGCCCACACTGGTAGCTTTGTTTTCTGGAAGCTGATTTCAGTCCTGGAAAGAACTCGGGCTTTTCTGGGTTGATTCCAAGTAGTTCCAACCCTGGCCAGTGGGGAAGAAAAAAAGCTCCCCGGGATTGGCGGGGAGGTGCTAGGTGCATGGGCTGTTGCGGGTGGGCGTCTGGTGCGTGTCTGAGGGCACGCAAAGGGCCCGGGGCTGAGGGGTGGGGTCATGCTGTGCAGGGCGGGTCCTAGCGGCTCCGGAGCCAGGAGTGAGTAAGGCGAGCCCGGAAAAGTCTCTTTTGCCTTTAAAGGCAAGCGTCCCTGGCAGCCCGAAGAAGAGGCTTTGCTGAGTCAGCTGCAGCTGAGGCACGGGGGGCTGGCAGGGGCTGGGGCAGGAGATCCTCTAATCCGCATAATGTTTTGCAATTCAGATCCTCCGGGACTGCAGGTAAATGTGGCATTGGGCTCCAGGAGAGCCTGCTGGGCCAAGCGGGACAGTTTGGTGTGTTCAGTATTTTCAATCTGATTTGCACACCTGCTCCCAGAAAGCTAGGCGGCATCCCTTCCTTCTGCGTGCCCCTCCCTGCCCTGTGCAAGGGCTCTCATCGGTGCCACCACCTGCTCATTGGTACTGTGGGATACTGAGAGAACATCCCTTCTCCTCTGTCCCCTGAGCACCAAGCTTGTCTGTTCAGTTGCCTTCAGGACAGCACTCTGCATGTCCCACAGGTACCTCACACTCACCATGCTTAATCTAAACTCATCATCTCTCCCCCTGCTCTCCTAGTCCCCCCCCCCCCCCCCCAGCCCTTGCAAACTGCACTAGCCAGAGGTCTGATATCATCCTGACTCCTCTCTCCCCCTCATTCCCAGTATCCGGTCAACCCTGTGGATTCTGCTCTCTCAGAATACTTACTATTGAACCTGTCCCCTTCTCTGCATTCTCACAACCCTTTCTCTAGGATAGAGCCACTGCTTAAGCATCCTCCCCACTGCCACTGCCTTGGTTTCTAAACTGCACAGCTGCCAATCACACCCTCCCTTAAACATCTTTCCATAGCACACACCAACATGGCTGATCTCATAGACATCACATTGAGGTGTTGAGGCCACCTGCAAAAGGTGGCCTTTAAATACATGATTGCATGTATATAAAGTTCAAAAACAGGCAAAACATGTGTGGGACTCTAGAAGTCTGGAGAATCAGTTCCCTGGAAGGAAGGGTCTTGGTCATGAGGGGAACTGGTAATCAGGGCTAGGCAGGTGGAGACCAGATCAGCAGTTCTGGTGATTTCCTTTTGCCCCAAGCTGTAAGATGACTCAGTAGCACATGGTTACTAATCCTATTTTTATTTAAAATTTTGATGTTTTTTCATGATTTTTTTGCATTAATTTTTACTCTTCAAAAGTATAACATTAAAGATGATTATTTATCTTGACAATTGAATTTTTGGCACTCCTCCCCCTGCCTTGAATCTTACCTGGGAGACAAGCGCCTCTCTTGCCACACCCCATTCCTGACCCTGTGGTAATGTTTCTTAATCAGCATGCTGGTTATGCAGGCATAGTCTGTTTGTGAAAAATTATTAAGCTGTTAACACTTCTGATTTTTGCACTTTTTCTCTGTGTATATTTTACTTCAATCAAAAACAATTATTTTGTTGGGCATGGTGGCACACACCAGCAACTCAGGAGGCTGAAGCAGGAGGATTGCAAATTCAAAGCCAGCCTTAGCAACTTAAGACCCTGTCTCAAAATAAAAAATAAAAGGACTGGGGATGTAGCTTGGTGGTTAAGCATCCCTGGATTCAATCCTACCGGGA